TATTTATCTAATATATTCAAAAAAAAGTATTAAAAAGCATAAAATACTAATAAATAAGATTATTTTTTATGATATAAGAATTGCTAATATACTAGGAAACGGAACCGTTGTGTATCTGAAGTGATTTTTAATCTTTTTTTTTATATTGGGATGTATGCTTTTATTCAAATAATAAAATCATTGTAATAAAATCATATATAATATGATTGTCATTAATAAATGTAACAATGAAGTGATTGAATATAACGTTAAAATGTAACACAAATTGTAATATTATCCAACAACGTTTGTAATATGCAACAAGCTACATATAAGCTACAATAACGAGAATACTGAGCTTTTATTCTCAAGACATTTGTTAGTTCGCATCTACTATAATAAAATGTGCAATAAATTTAATCTTAACACTCTTTAAAAACGTAAATCAAGAGAAAATGAAATACCTGAGCATCGTGAGGCTTGTCTTATCAAGGAACGTGAAAAAAAATGGAAAAGAAAGGCAGTAGAAACTACCGAAGAACGGGATGCATGTCACATATATGATCACAAATGAAAACGCTTAAAAGTAGCAAATAAAAATATTGAAAACTACTATAATCTAACGCAATCGCTGCAGGATCAAGCTATGAAGCTGCAGCAACCACTGCCATAGCAGCAACGATCTATAAAGCTGCAGCAACCACAGCCGCAGCAGCAACGATCTATGAAGCCACAACTGCAGCAGAATCGAGGTATGCCAAAGCAGAATCGAGATATTTCAGAGCGGCAAGATCAGAGTATCGAAGTCCTATCTGAGCTCAGTAAATCTGAACGAGGCCTTCTACGGAAGTTTCACAATAAAATGAACAAATTAAAACATAATCTTTGCCCTATATGCAATGAGAACTTTTCGTCTATAATGCTTGTAAAAGGAGAATGCTGCCGCTGTTATAGTGAAAAGACTTACCCAAAGAAATTCTCTGCAGAAAATAGCATGGATCCCGGTGATGTACCTGATGAACTCCAAGGGCTTACAGAAATTGAGAAGATGTTGATTGCTAGAGTCTTTCCTGTAATGTCTGTTTACAGACTTCGTGGAGGACAATGTGGATATTGTGGAAATGTAATCAACTTCCCTCAAGATGTATAAGGATTTGCTACTCACCTTTCTTGGCATCCATCGTCATTAGATATACTTGTTGTACATTGTGAAATTGCAGATAATTCAGCGGCATTCAGAGATTTTATTGTCCATTGTGTCAAAGTTGCTCGCGCGTTATACTGGCTAAAAGAAAACAATCATTATTATACTGATATTATAATAGATGATGAGGTTCTTTGTTCTTTGTCTACCAGTGGATCTATTAATGACTGCCTTCGGAATACTCAAATAGTTGCTGAGGATTTAGATAATAAAGATGAGAGTGATGAAGGTAATGCAATTACACGCACTTTTGTTCTACTTCTTCCTTCAACTTGTCGTGAAGATGTCGCCATTCAAAATACCCTTGATCGCGTGCAAAACTAAAACTGCCTTATAGAATAGCCACAGATCAGCAATAATCCTGTCAATGAATTCCAAATGTCAGGGTATATTGCATACGCGTTTCCAATATTATATCCAACTGGATGCACAGATCTTCGTACAAAGTGAATTAGGGACGTCAAACCTGTCGAATACTTTAGACATCTGCTTCTATATAAAGACGGGAGATTGCACGCCATCCTCGTTGGTGATATTTTACGTTGAATTCCCAGATGCAATAGCGAGCACTACAGGAAGGGAAATTATATGTTAAGCAAAACCTAACCGATTCTCAAATTACTGTCGCAGATATTTAGGAGAAAATAATTTAAGGTGATAATCATATTGCTGATAGAATTATGTGAATTGGCGAAAGGTTGCGTGGATCTCAGCAGTTTTGGAATGCAAGGCGTTGGAAACTTTCAGACATGATCAAGCAAATAGGATCATAGGGCTTGATCTTCTTTACATTTAGCACTGCTGATTTGCACTGGCCTGAACTCTACAAGCTTATACCATCTAGTTCTACAAAAAGAGAGACCAATAACCAAAACATCGTTGATAATTCTCATATCGCTGTTTGGTTCTTTAATAAGCGATTTGATTTATTTTTTAATAATGTTTTAAAACGACAATGGAATTTGGAGGATTAGTAGTACTGATTCAAGTGGCAGCACCACGGTAGCGTCTATATTCATAGAAACGTAATGCACTTATAATAGAATGAGAACAAATGCAGAAAGACGAGAACGTTATGAACGAAGTAGTATGATACCTTGATTCTCTGGTTACCATAATAAACTTAGAGCTCAACACGCCTATTTCTGATCAGCATCTGTGTAAAAAGCGTAAAATGAAATATGCGATGATCAACAGGATTACATTGAATTGATCAATAAGCTGTAACGACATACACGATGTAGTCCTTTGTATTGCCTTCGTGTTAACCGAGATAGTCAGCAATCTTGCAGGTTCAGATACCCTAAAGAAAATGTTGAGAATACTTTTGTACGTGATGATGGTTGTGGTTAACCCGAGCTTGTAACAAAAAGGAACGATCCATTAATCAATCCGCACAATAAGCTCTAACTGCAAGGTTGGTGAGCAAATGTTGACCTAAAGCCGATCTTAAGTATCCATGCTGCCTTGCAATATATATCAAAATATGCAAGCAAAGCAGAATTGCGATCTGTTGCCTTCTCAGAAATATTGAATCAAATTTTAAGTAATAGCAATTCAAATGAACAAATACTTGCCCTGGTTTAGAAATTGCTGCTATATAGTGTTGCAGAGCGTGATGTTTCTGCTCAGAAAATGTGTCACATTCTTCTTGGTACTCTATTATATCACTCAAGTAGGTCATTTGTATCCATGAACCTTAATAAAGAAACACCAAGGTGGATTCGTAGCACTGGAGAAAGCGGAGAGCTTCCTACAATCAATTCTGGACAAACAGAACAATTACCATTAGAAAGATATTGGAACCGACCTACTGAATTCGAAGATTTCATATTATATCAGCTCTATTTAACTCACAGATTCACTAAAAATAAATGGAATAAATGCAAAAAAAGAAAATATTATACGCAGGGTTGGAAAATTTGTATGTACTAAGCAAATTTGACCTTGTATTTGTACTGTACTGTACTAAATTTTATATTAATTATTATGTATACTAACTGTACTAAACTGTACTAAGCTGTACTAAC